GAGAGAGAGAGAGAGAGAGAGAGAGAGAGAGAGAGAGAGAGAGAGCACGGTACGTATTCTCTCCTCGCGCGTATCTCTTGCGCGATACAAATGGGAAAGAATGTAATGTAAAATAGCTGTTTTATTATGCCGGCCGTTTTCTATTATTCCAAAGGAAGAGAGAGAAAAGGTGGGGGAGAATCGTAAAGGAGAGAAGAAAGACCCAAAAGGGGCTTTGCGCTTACGCCGGAGTGGTTAGGCGTGACACACAAGCGCGCGGAATGTATGATTTATCATTGACTCGCACCACACACATAGGCGCGCCGGCTACGCTTTCAATGGCGATCGTGCGACCGCGGGCGGCGCTTTAATTGGACAATAATTCTCGCGCATTTTCTGCGGCGGCGATAATGCACGCGTGAAACGCCGCACGAAACAATCGGAGCCGTGGCTGCCGGGCCGGCCAATTTCCGGCAAGATCCTACTTCGCCTTGCTTAAAAAGCACGAGAATGAAATTTGCATGTTATTACGGTTTGCGCGTTCTTTATTCATAAGCCCGCCTCTCCGTTAAACGTAAACAAACATGTCGTTTCGGCCTTTGCTCCCTGCCGCGGGGCACAGGCGGGGCCCTTTATTCTCTATTTTTTTCAGACGCGCCCCGTGTAAATTAAAATGCGAATGCACGTTAAAGCGCACGCGATTGAATCAGTTTCGCGTATTTGGCGATCGACGACGAGAGGTAGAAGAGCGCTTAAAAAAAGAGAGAGAGAATCGCGCAAGTCAATCTGTGTCTCTTTCGCGAATAATCATGATTTCACGAGCCTCACGAGTTTCGTTTATTACGTCGCGCTCTCTCTCCAATTCATTACACTGCATAATTAATGAATAATTTATAATAACGAGCTATACATCCACTTAATTAATTTCACCCGCGTCACGGCAAATTTTCGCTCTTTTCTTCTCTTTGTTTTGCGAATTGACGCGAGAAGCAGAGCTTGCGGGGCGAATGTTGAAACAACTGTGTTCAACAGAGAAAACTGCTTTGCGACTGTTGTTAAATCAACACTTGGCGAAAATTACAAATGTGAACAAATGTATTACATCATCTAATGAATTCGTTCACTTTTGCATTTTTCACTACGTTGTGTCAGGTCGGTATTCATAGTCAGATCTTATAGTTAAAATCGTCTTAAGTTATCCTCCAGATGCTCTACAGATTATTTCATTAGCTATGGAATATTTAAAGATGAACTTAAGACGGTCTTAAATATAAGATCCGACTATGAATACCGGTCTTAATACACAATCGATTCCCCGATTAATACACGTTCCTAGATTCAGCCAAGATTAGGAGCATACGCCAATCAGATTGACGAATTCTTCAACAGTTGCGAAGCAGCCTCCTCTGCCGAAAATGCCGCCAATGGCGGGACCACTAAATGATGTTTTGTCAGTGGTGTCAACGTGTGAGACGCTGGTCTGTGAGTAGCTGGTGAATAAAAGACTGCTTCGTGAAGAGGATGAATAGCACACTTTCGGATGAGAGGCAAGACTGTTCCCAACAGTGATTACGTGTCTCCTCGTCGTTGACGAGGAAAAGGAACCGTTCGAATTGCTCGACGTACATGCTACAAGCGCGCGCGCGTGCACGCGATATATTTAATTTCTCTCGCGTTCTTCTCGTTTCGCTCCTGAAGAAATCGCACTCACCGGTCGGCAGAGCAATTCCCACGAGAAGGAACAGGACGACACAAGCGAGCCCCGCGCGGCTCGAACGTTTCTCGATGCACATAACGCGCCGCGTTCGCACCGGCGGCATTCAAACGCTCGTACCGCGTCGCGCGGCCGCTCGCGTGGCTCTGAGTGTTCCTCGTTAGATTTTGAGTTTGAAACGCCGCTGCTCTCTCTCTCTCTCTCTCTCTCTCTCTCTTTCTCTCTCGCGCCGCCTCTCCTCCTCGTCGCTCCAGTTCCATCTCGCTTTGCGCGTTGCGGGACTGGCGGGCGGCCGGCGCGCAGCTCCTGGATGCTGCGAGCGGTCCAGCGAGGCGCGCCTGCCCGATGACAACCCGTTATACGACTCGCGAGCCGACCGGTAGTGGGCGCCACGAGCCTGGCGCGCCGCGCAGAGGAGATCCGCGAAGGATCCGTCGCGAGTGAGCGCCGGCGAGGAGCGGCCGCGCGCTTTTCTCTTACCATGGGAACGCTATTTGGCAGATCCCTGCCGCTTCGTTGCTCCCATCGCGAGATCAGATCAGCTGATTGTTAAGCGGAGAAATTGCACGATCGACGGATCGATTATCCGTACGGATAATCATCAGGTGAGAAATAATCCCGAGGGATTCAGCCTCGATCTCTCGAAAAACACGGAGAGAATTATCCGCCGTCCGTGAATCCTCGCGCGCACTTTTTATTTCCGTCGAGTCGTGCATATCTCATCATACATTTCATCAAAACGAAAATCTCCCTCATCGCCTCGCGATATGTCACATCCAAATAGTAAATCGCAAATCGCGATCTTTGACCGCGCGATATGAATCATCAGTTCTCGACGGTAGCCGCGCGATTACGAACGCCAAGGTCAAAGTACAACTATCTTATCTCACACGTATGACTCAAGCTTGTTGACAATGCTAAATCGTGGAGCTCAGTCTGAGTGTCGTGTCACGCGTGCCATTCACGAGCCTCGAAAGTCTTTCAATGTCCGACGGAGAAACGCTCGAAGGTAATGTGCGAGGCCGACATGTTCGAGAATGTCGAGTTGTGAATGGATAGGTAAGGACTGACGAATGAGGCGCTCTCACCAGAGCGCGTAGAGAAAGTAACCCGACCGAAATTGCACCAGTTCCCACCGGTTACACCGGTTCGTCGGCTCGCGCCGGCTTGACTTGAGGAGGAGGTGGAGACGCGCGCTCCCATCGTACGATCGTTGGCGCCATTTGTCCTCGTCGTAGAGTCGACCTAGCTCTCCGCTGTAACACCCACGGATATCGATCCTACGGCGCGTTCCGAGCGTCCCGAACGACGTACGCAAGCCCGACGAGTCGAGGCGACGAGGAGAGCCACCCCGGTGTAGCTAGTTCATGCTCGCGCGCGCGTCCCTTCGCACCCCCGCTCGTCCTCTCTCACTCTCTCTCTCTCTCTCTCTTTCTCTCTCTCTTTCTGTCTCTGTCTTTCTCTTTGTCGTATCCTCTCCTTCTCTTCCCTCCCTCCCTCCTCCTCCTCCTCCCTTTTCGTCCTCCTCCTCGTGAGCAGGAGCACGGCAAACGGGCGAGATGAGCGACCAGGAGGACCTGGATTATTACATCATGTTCCCGCCGTTTCCGCCGTCCCCGAAGGACCCGACGCTGACCACCAGCGGGCAAGACCAGCGGGAGGAGTTCGTGTTCGTATACGAGGAGGACAAGCGGCCGGTCGTCGTCCTACTAGGATGGGCCGGCTGTCAAGACCGTTACTTGGCCAAGTACAGCGCGATCTACGAGGAGAAAAGGTATTCCCGCGACTCTCTCGCCGATTTTACGCGCGGCTTCGAGCTCGTGCGAGCGCGAGCTCAGTGAAAACCCGAGTCGGTGGAGCATCGGTAGACAGCCGGAGATGCAGAAAAGTGCAACTCGTGTCGCAATTTTTTATCTGGTCACTCGAGCAAGCGATACACCGCGAAGTGACATCCGGGTCTCGGTGCGTAGTTCGCGGGATCGATTGAAGGTGAAGCGAGGTGAAGCCTCGCTTGGCGAGGGAAGTCCTCGTTTTCCGCGGAAATTGCTTCGAGTGAAGTTCGAGTTGTTCGAGTTAGAGACGGTAGTGCGCGTCCGCTTCATTAGGATCAAACCGGTCGAACAAACAATGATCGATGCTGCATGGCCGGCGTGTAACGCGACTTAATCGCGCGTTAATTCCCATTACTGTATCTCTGTTCATTCCCGCAGCTGCATCACGCTGCGTTACACCGCGCCGGTGGAGTGCCTGTTCTGGCGCAGGGATAAGATGCCTTACATCGGCAAGCGGCTGCTGCAGGTGATCACCGACAAGCGGCTGGACGAGCACCCGATCTTCTTCCACGTCTTCAGCAACGGCGGCGCGATCCTCTATCAGCACGTTAGCCTCGCCATGCAGAGAGCTAACACGCCGTTCGAGGTAGACAGCGCGAACTCTGCGCTGAACTCTGTCGCGGAAACTCTCAGGGCGCGATCCACGCTGCCATCGCGCCAGATTTTGCGACTCTTCGCGAAGTCGGGACGTGTTGGTCTTCAACGAAGACCTACGCCGAGATTCGGCGAGTTATTGCATCGACCCGTCGATTCCCAACTTTGAGTAAATCTGTCGAGATTCAAAATTGAATGCACCGCGGGAGAAGCGCTATGCAAAATCATGTTGTAAAGCGCGATGGTGGCCCACTTTTTTGCGTGAGAATACGTAAAGAGAAATTGTTCTACTCCACCAAGAAAAGAGATCGCTCGTTTTACTTTCCTTCTTTGAAGTAAAGGTTATCTTCAGCAAAGAGTACTTTCTCTCTCTTGATGATAGACTTCAAATATACTCATTATAAGTTTCGAGAAAGCTCATTACTATGTACTCAAGAGAAGAATTTACTCTCTTTGCGAGAATACCGAATTTTAACCAGGAGAAAGTTGGTTCTCTACTTTATATAGTAAACAGAACGAATATTTGTTTTAATTTTGTATTCCTGATTGAAATACTAAACTTACTAAAATTCAAAATATATCTCGAATAAATTTGATGCTCGTGACGAACTTATGATGGATTTGTGGATATACAAGTTTTATGAAATACTTGAAACAAGTAACATTTACTCTAAAATGTATTTTTCTGTGTGTAGCAACAGTCGCGATACGCAGTTCGATAATCCGCAACTGGAATTGCAGGTCCGAGGAGTGATATTCGACAGCGCGCCCGGAGAGAGAAGATTAACGGCGCTCTTCAAGGCGATCAGCGCGATTATCGGCGGTCATCCCCTCACGAACCTGCCCATGTCATTCGTCATCACGTTCTTTATATCTGTGTTGTGGTTCTTCGAGGTAAACGGCTTGCATGCTCGATAAGCGCACGTCAGTCAATGCTGCCGGGAAATCACGGCTTCCTGATCGTCGCGATTGGAAATTAATTTCTTTTCTTCTTTTAACTGCAAGTGTTCGTTGTAGACTTGTTGCTCTGCTCATTGTTTTGGACTCTGTGACAGCAAAATTGTTTTATTAGAAGGACTAGTTCCTTAATTGTCGAGCAAGGCTATGTTAAACCTAACGATTGGCGATAGAATTAAAAGGAAGAAAACTTCAGAATCGACTTTTGTCGATCATCTTTCGATTCATTGATAACAGACACGAAATGATCGTCGAGTCTATTGATTTCAGGTTTGTGTCGACGTTACCTGTCAACTCATATGTCGATTCTTGTTCATTAGGTGATCGCGCAGGCGTTCAGCAGAACTCCCATCCAGACGAACCCGATCGCCCTCGCCGAGGAAGCCTACTCCTGGCCTCAGCTGTTCTTGTATTCCAACAGCGACACTCTGATCCCAGCGTCCGTGAGTTCCCTTCGTCTTCTAAGTCAGAGCCTCGCAGCGATGGCCACGTCTCTCAGGTCCACGTCGCGCACGGAAGAAAGATTTGAGTTTGGGTAACTGAATGGGGGACCAGACGACAAATACAAAATCATATTTATGGCCTTTTAACCGGAAACATTCGCCTGAACATTCAACCACATTAAAACTCAGTTAAAATAACAATTTTCTAAATACCTCCTGCAAAGAATCTGGTTTTCATCTGGTCCTAGAAGTAACAGAAAATTCAGTTACACCAACGGAACTGTTTTTCTTCCGTGCATTTTCTCAGTTGCCGTAAGTCTCTCTAGGAATCAAACATATAGGCGAGCACACATTAATTTCTTCATCCCTGATGAAGAAGAAAGATCTGTGAGACCGGTCTAAGATGCGAGCAGGTTCTCCCACGCTGAGAGGGTGAACGCTCCGAGAATAGATGCGCTGGAAATAACTCGCGGATCTCCAAAATCTGTCCAGGACGTGGAGAAGTTCGCCAGCCGACGGGCCGAGCGTGGCGTGCGAGTGCAGCTGGTGCTGTTCACCAATTCGCCGCACGTCAAGCACTATGCCACCTACCGCGACGTCTACGTCAACACTGTGTGCAGCTTCGTCCACGAATGCCTGACCTCGCCGAGTGCGTCCAGGAGCCTGCTGTCGTCCCTGGACCGCGGCGACGATCACGGCTCCCAGGGCTACGACGCGCCGCCGGGACTCATCAAGCGCGTCGTGCTGCCACACGAGGCCACCAGTCAGCAGAATTAGAGAGGAGAACGGGAGAGACGTTAATAGATAAAATAGAGTACCCGCCTGCGGGATCGCGCCGGGATCCCGCGGGTGTATAAAGGGAGAGAGGATCGTTCGTTCCCGTATACGCGCAAGAATAACCGCGAGAGACGAAAGAATTGAAAAGTAAAACGCGCAGAATTTGTTCAGGGGAAGCGCGGCTTCCTGATCGCCACGAGTAGGAACATTGATTCCCCTTTTATTTATTTATTTATTTATTTATTTATTTGTTTTTTTTTGCGATGTGTTCCCTTCTGGTCGCTTCAACTGCTATTTTTGATTCTGTGATAGGACAATTGTGTTATTAGAAGTTATTAGTTCCTCAAGAGTAGAGTTAAGCTACGTCGAAGCGAACGGTTGGCGATAGAACCGGAAGACAGACGGCCCACAGAACTCGGGATCAGTTCCCGACTGCGAGGATCAGGAACTCGATCTACCCAAAAACGAATTCCCGGGCGTTCTTTTCGACTCTTTCGTTTCGCGCGAAAGGCAAAGGGACGATGTCCGAGATGCTGGAAACGGTGCTACGTTCGTCGGAACGCGTAGAGCTATTTTGTACGAAGTGTGCTTATCATTTCGAGTGAAGAAGTCTAGTCGATGAGCCGAGGGAGACCGCACACACGGTGGCGTAAGATCTTTCGAGAAGTTCCGTTGCGCGCCAAAAGACGCGCCTCCACGTACCTCACTCGAGGTACGAAAATTTGCCGAAGCCTACGCTGATTCTCACGTCTCTGTGTACGTTTACTCGAGCCTCTTGCGATTCCTACGAACACAGCCGGTTCACAGAAGACTCATCATGCATCCGCGACTCGTCCACGCGACTCGTCCACGCGACTCGTCCACGCGAATTTGCACGGCGATTCGCTTTATCTGGCGATTTCGCTCCAGCGATCGCGTGTTCAATGAATCAGAGCCGAGATCACCCCCCGGGGCGAGTTTGCACGTTTGCACTGTTTGCGGCATCGTGAGAGCCTTGTCAGAATGTCCCCCGGTCCTCGCGGAGGCAACGAAAAAAACAGCCGACTCCACACGTCCTCTCTCTCCTTCGCCTTAATTTCTCCTACGTTGTCCCCGTCTCAGCTTGATTCTTCGTTTGTAAACTTCCGTTCGACCTCTTCCGCCACCGCGTGTCCGAGCGATCACGCCGATCCTTTTAGTAGCTTACAAAGTACTCGTAGTCATGGACGCGCTCGTTCCAGCGTATCCTCGCGAGCGACGCGATTTCTCGTTTGTCGACGGGTATTGTTCTCCGACGATGGGACGATGAGACGCGATCTCGATAGGATAACGATCGATTGACTAATTTCTGGGACAGGATCGATGCGTTTCTAGGAAATCCTACGTAATAAACAGTATCTCGCGCAATGTTGTCGCTTTCACTCTTTACATCTTTACGCAAAGAGAGAACCCGCACAAAAGAATCAAGCTGGACTTGATTTGAGCTTTCGCAACTCACAGCTCGATTGCATGGCATTTAATATCGACTAAGGAACTACGAACGCGCGCTCTCGCGCAAAATTCTCCTTGTATCTAAAAAATTATATCAGTGATAAACTCTCGTCGCCCGAGAGTATAGCTGTATCGGGTGTCGTTGCAAAACACATCTATACATATATATATAAATAATATAATATATTTTGATCTGTCGATTAGTTACACGAATAAAGACTGATAAATATCTGCGACATTCTGTTCTCATTTAATCTATGATGATAATGTCCAAATTTATCTTCTCCCTTTTTTCTGATCGCGATTTCAGTGTTCCTTTTTTATTAGACTAGGCCAGAAAACACAGGAACACTCCGACACTAAAGTCACGAAGCCTGAGCTGCCAAAATTGACAGCAAACAACACGCGTGAAGCAAGCCGCGACGCAGCAACGATACAACCAATTAACATTCAATTAACATTGAAAAGAGCCAGTGATAGAAGATTGAGTTCTGACATTGTTCGCTGATCGGGTATCGTGTCGAAAAGGTTGTCATATCAATGACTACCGCACAAACCACGGACTTCCTCCTCCCGTCCGAACGTCGCTTGAGTTTCAAAAAGCTCGCTGAAAAGTGGAAAATATAATCTCATAAAGTGTAACTTGGGGAGAATTCGGAAAAAAAGAGAATCAAACGCGACGGTTCTTCGTCCTTAGGATCGACAAACGTCGGCGACGTTATCCGCTATATCTCATTGTGCATCCATTTCCTTCATCGCGACGAGGCAGATCTCCGTCCGCGCCAAGGAGCAAAATCGCGAGGAGTACAACCGAATTAACGGCTTGACAGTTTTTGTTCAAAACGCAGAGCGAGAAGCGGCAAGGAGAACACCGTCGATACACACAGTTAAGTCAAAAGACAAATTGCCCGCACTGCCTGCGACGAGGTGAGCGCGCAGATCATACAATCGTGAAACTCTGCTTGCGCACAGATACAAAATGTCAATTTTCAGTGACTTCAAGAGATTGCGTCGCGCTGGTCGAAACGCGGCGAAAGGAACGACGGGACTTCATGGGTCTACGCTGCCCAGGGTGGGTGGAGATAAACGCCATCCCGAAAGATCCAATTGTATAAACGCTTACATAAAGTAAAAAAGCGAAACCTATTTTTCATTGACAATTGCACAACGTGCAAGTCGGTCATCACGCGTTCAAGAAACTTCTGGAATTTCCGCAGAACACGCTTGACTAAAATCGACAAGCGGAAATTGTCAAGATCCTCGCGAGATCTCGACCGCGCCGACAATCTGGATTCGCGAAGGAAACGATCGAGCAGCAATGTCGATGGCAGTCCACGACTCGACACAGTTCCAAATCAGATCAAGACGAAGCGACCCAAGGAGGACACTCAGGCGGCTAAGCGCGACATCGTACGTTCACCCTTGTGAACGAATTTCTAATTTAATAGCGTGTCTTATCTTCAGCCGAACTCTCACGAAGTAGTACACTTGCATAATTTACATGTGTTAGTTAAAAATTTTGCTGAGATCATTACAAGTTCGCGAGCTCTCTCTCTCCTCTTCTCTCTCTTTCTCTCTTTCTTTTCGTCATGGAAAAAACTCATTATTGACGTTAATGAGAAAACTCCCCGAAACACAGATAGCGGAAAATATAGCGAAGCAGGGCAAAAAGTTGCGCGCGAGTCCCGTGAGGGTCCCGGCGACGAGTAATTTCGTCTACGAATTTAATCTGCACGGTCGTGCTGAGCGCACGAATTCATTAACATCGCAGGCCCGCTCGCACTCCACGCATAATTCGGACCGAGGACTGCCTCCTGCGAAAACAGGTGTCGAGCCGAAATTATATATTCCGGTTATACCATCCGATTACTCGCCGAATTCCGTGCAATTTTAATTATATGGGACACGCGTGAGGAAGGGACGGGAGTGGCAACGCGGAGGGCGAGGAGGAGAGGATGCATATTTTGTGATGAATTTTTTACATCATATTTTTTCGACGAATCTCTCAAATGTCTGGAAATATAACGTCCAAGAATATAATGCGAGACATCTGCCATTTTCGTAATATCCGTTGATTATGCGTAGCTCCTGCATCGGTCAAATCTGCATTAATTCGTAACACGGATCTCGCGAAGCGAAAGACGCCTGTCCTGCCGGAATTAAATTCGCGTGCTGATTTCATAACGGCTGATCCAAATTCGATTATAATGAGTTTCAATCGGGACGCACGCTTGCCGATACTAAGTAGAGAGGACCAGACGAGAACGTCGTGCAAACTTGATAAACGTGAGTCTCTTTTTGTTATCTTCCCTCTTGTCTGCTTCGTCCTCTTCCTTCCTTTTTCCATTGTTGCGATTGCAAATGCGGGAATCGTCATTCGCACTCCAGACGAGCAGAGCAACGTGGATCGCGAAGTGGAACACGTGAAGTCGGCTTGGCGAGCGTTGCGGGAAGGAAGGGATCGGAGGAAGGAGAGAGCTCGCATCGGCAACGCTTCCACGACAAGGTGGTCCAAGATAGTCGACAGAATGACGCGTGACGTGGACAGAGTTCAGAAGCGCTGCCTGGATCCCTGGGCGAGTCGTTGCTTGCGCAAAAGCGCGAGCGACGTCTTCAGAGCGGGGATGAGCAAGTCGAGCCTGGAGGAGGATAGTGAAGTCGCGAGAAGCACGATCTTTCCCAAGGGGAAAGCTAGCTTCCAGTCGGCAAGTTTGAATCGCTCGAGGAACTTCGACGTTGATCCGATCGATTGGGACACGATGCGACTCCACGAAGCTACGAAGGATATCACGACGGATGAACGCTCGAACGAGGATTCGCTCTCGTCGCAACGCACCACGAAGATGCGACCTGATGCATGTACTAACGCGCGTAACATCGACGTCAGATCGGTTCACACGATCGTAAGTAGCCGTAGTGAGAGGCGAGATGCAACGAGAGCAGCGCTCAGAGACGTCGGTGCGACGAGAGCGAGCGTCAGGGCTTCCGTCGACGAGTACCTGCGGAACTGCGTCGGCGAGTTACGCCGCAAGCTGCCCGATATCGAGGAAGACAAGGCGGAAGAGCGTCCGCGAGACGTGGAACCGTCGGCGAACGACATCGCGGACATGCTCGCGAGCCTCAATATCGGATCGCGCGGGCTCCACGACGACTTCTTCCTTGAGAAACGTGACGATGCCGGCGTCGACACGGAGGAAAGCGCGAGAGAGGACCGTTGGAACGCCGCGCAAACAACGTTCGCCGATACTATACGACAGGATCGGATAGTAAATGACGATAAGTCAGTTGAAGACAGTTCGTCCGAGCTCGTCGACGCGAGATCCGCTTTGAAACAATCAAGCGCAACAAGTTGCGAGGGTGACGCTTTTATTAAAATAGGATTGAACGTTCTGAACAAAAGTGTACCCGGGGATAAACTGTCGCAAATGTTGCAGTCGGAATACTTGAGAAAGGACCTGCTCTTATAATTCACGTAATAACATCAGCCGCGCGTGATCGCATAAGTGTGCTCTGCATAAGTTACATTGTAGAATCAGCTCGCTTTGTATTGCTCTTAAATCATTTTTAACTTTAACATTTTACAAACTTTGCTGTTTCTCGGTTTCCCCACGACATACCGATGAAGCGTGTGTGCTGTGTCTCTTTCTCCTTCTCTCTCTTCGATGTTTTAAATTACTTAAAAATATATATATATATACATATAAACGTGAAAGTTAAAATTTCTTTTATATACACAGTCTTATGAGTTTTATAGAATATACATCTTGCGTCCTATGTAACTCTGACTAAATAAAAATCTGATATATCAGAACATATATATATATATGTGTATCACAAAACGTTGTCCACTAATTTATTATGTATATATACATATATAAATAAAAGCGCATGATGTCATAAACATGTACACACGCCCTCGATGAATCCTCGAAGCCAATTCCGTTCTGTACATTTATGCTACGTATAGATAGAGATTATGGCACTATTCGTGAAAATCACATTCGGTTAATTCCATGATTAAAGTATAAATACGATATCTTGATATGTTATCGACTGGCCGATATTTAATGATCGAACGCGCCGCGTGTGCGTGTGCGTACGTGTGTATGCGTGTAGGTCCTTGCGAATATTCACAATCGATGCACTAGAAATCGTTCACAACAGGCTCAGTGTAAACACCCATCTCTGCATTGTCTTCGACAGACATTTTGTCGTTGCTTTCTCTTCGGTGGCGCACAACCGCTGCCCGAAAAGTAGAGCATATCACAATACTGGAAGCGCCGAGCTGTGGCTCTGGTATATTATAGCCCCGGTAAAGTTAATCGCGGCCGCCAACACGAAAACCGGCATCCACCAGCCGTGCGAGGCAGTCACTAATTCGGCCGTCAGCGGGCCGCACAGAATTCCAGGTACTGTCGCCTGAAAATTGACGTGGTGTCAACTAATGTTGTACCGATGTGTACGTGTGTGTCTGTATGTGTAGATACATTTCGAAAAATATTCTTACAATTGTATTTGAGACTGCGAATGTAACTCCCGCATGATTCGGAGCTATGTCCGCGTGATTACTGAGATGCCCGGCAGAATTGCACGCGCAAAGGCCCATGGATATCGAAACGAAACTGCAAAATTGTAATTTAGATATAACTCTTATGAAAATCGCTTTCATCTCCATGAAAAGTATAAATAATAATCATTATGAGAAAACAATCGATATTGCAAATTTGATACGACATTACATACGTGATAATGATACAGAGATTGTTGTACGTACATGACGGCGGCAAGGAGATTATCTACGGCACAGAAAGCCAATAGGAATGCACCCGGTCCCACTAGGCCTATGTTTGTCATTAATCTTCTCACAGATAACACCGACCATCTCTTTTGTATCAAGCTATCGGCGCTGTGGCCAGCAACTGTAATAAGAGATATGTTTCTATAAAATATAAATTCTAATAAAGCTGAGAGATAACGATTGTATGCTATGCACTCACCAATACCAATGAGAGAGTTAACAATGTAAGGGAGCGCCGTCAAGCTAATGCTTTCCTTGTTTGCAGACAGATTTCTTGCCAAGTAAGTTGGTAGCCACTGCATTATTATGTAGTTAGTCCAGTTCATCGCGAAATGCGCTATATACAAAGCCCACAAAGGCCAATGGGCAATGAATTCGGTCCATCGTAAACTTCTGTTTTGAGCTACCTGCCAAATATCAAGAAATAAGAGTGTTGCATCTACTGTAGGGTAGTTGAATGTAAGCAATTGAACTTTCAAATTTACCTTAGGAACAAACAATGGTATCTCATCCTGAGAATTAGTCTCCTGATACAATATCAGCCACAACAAAGTCCACAGAATACCTATAGTCCCAAATAGATAAAATCCAGTTTGCCATGCCAAGTGTGGACATATCTGAAAGAAGTACACAGTGAAGGACATATACTTATCTGCAATTCGTGAAACACAATTTTCCAAGTGGACTCACAACAGATGCGACCACTTGGCCAACTGAACCAGCAGCTATCAGATAACCAAAAGCACGTGATCTTTCCTCCACAGGAACATTATGAGCGAATAAGTGAAATATCACCGGTAGGCCTGCACAGAAAACAGAATACTGTTGATCTCTCAGCCTCAATATATCAAATCATGGTCCTACTGGTTGTCCTGCTGTTCTCTCAAACTCACCCAGTCCTTCTCCAAGTCCTAAAACTACTCTACAAACTATTAACAGTGGCACTGATTGTGCCAACAGTGGAGTGATCACTGTGCTAATCGACCATAACAGAACCGCCAGCATGAGCACTGTCTTGCATCCAAAGCGACTGGCTGTGCTTGCACCGATAATCTTAAAGGAAGAAACATTGTGTTGACACAAATAAGCAATGTTTACACGAAAACAATATAACAACGGTGAGGATAAGCAATGATAGACTGTTGCTTCACCTGACTAGTGAAGTATCCGAAAGCGAAGGCGGACAGTATCCAGCCCTGCCAGTACAAGTTCCACTTGAACTCGTCGGTCATCGGCACGATCGCCATCGGCATGATGACGCGGTCCGCGGCGTTGATGAAATTCGCGGCGGAGCAGAGCGCTACGATCCGCGATGTGCGGGGCAACATCCTGAATCTCGGCATTCTCGACCTCTGTGAATCGACCAGTTGTCCACTAGCGGTGTCAAGCAGCAGTCACATCGCACTGTCCAAATCAACCCCTCGCGACGTCCGTACGTCTCTCCCTTGCGCTCCTCGTGTTTCGCGCAAATCGTGCACGCGCTCGTGCTTCACGTGGAACAAAGGGAAAGGGAGCGAAACGCAAGGGTGAAAGCGGAATAGAGATCTAACCTCCGCACCGTCGTGAGAGTCGAGAGGTCTCACGATCGAGTATCGCGAGAGTTCACGGGTGAAATGCTCGAAATCATCGGGAACGTGCTGACGCGCTTGTATCGCGGCGATAAACGCGTCGTGTTGATGTTAGAAATTGTGATTAAACGTCATAATGATCGAGCGGAACACGAGCACGTACACCGTGAAATTGACGATTCGACGTGTCAACACATGTGGTCTGTTCCTTTCAGCTGCAATAAGTTAGAGTGAAAGAAAGTGTACTTATCTCACTTTAACTTATCGCATCACTTCAGCAGTGCAGATAAAAAGAACAGACCAAAAGTGATCCTGGAGAGCGATAAGTCGATATCAGATTCTGCGAGATTCGAGTATTGTCTCGATATTTTCAAATTTGACTGATCCCCATTTATAATTTATAATTTCTGTAACTAGATGTTGTTAGATTTTATTCTTGCTTTTTATTACATAAATGTCATTTGATTGCTCACAGACAACGAACAAGTCAATATAATGCTCGTTAGCAAATGAGAAAGAAAGAGAGAGAAGCTTTAAAATACATATTTTTTTACTTTAAGTAAGTTTTCAATGCATTTTTCATAAAGTTTGTTGATTATCGTGCCTCAACATAATAGATTTGCATAAAAAGAAATTAATTCAATTTCGAACGATTTATTTAATAAAACTTAATATTCGAAAAATTAAATATTAAAAGTTAATAAATAGGGTTTGAGTCTCGGCTAAATTACTTGTTTTAGTGCTCGAATTCTCCGCTACGAGCCGCTAGCGACTTCAATGAAGATTCGAGATAGTAGTATAGAAGTCGATTAAAAAACTTAAGTACTCCACAACCGGAACTTGAACTCGAACGACTAAGAAGTCCATGTTCATTTTGTTCTATTTAATCGTTTTCAGTTTTTCTTTTGTTATTTCATACATAATCAAATTAGATCTTAAGTTTAATTATAGTAAAACATATTTTCAAACACGTTGTATTGTACAAAACCCTAGAGAAAACACGATACTTTTATATGTTATCTAGAGGTCGGATAGGCTAACTCCTAGACCTTACATTTCTATTGTACACCCTTTATTTCAATAAAAAAAAATAAAAAAAAACGAGATAGTAGTATAAGTTACAACTTACATTATTAATACTGTATATTACTCCTAAAAAAACTGTATTCATTTTCGAATTCGTATTATGTAAAGGTCAGATAGGCTTAGCATCTAGACCCGTACACTTTTTGTACACCCTTTATTCCTAATAAAAAAAAAAAACGAGATAGTAGTACGACTCAAAGGTTAATCAGACGTATCTTACTAATCAAGTTATACGAATTAACGGATAAGTTAAACAAACTTATTTTTAAATAGTACGACACATCAGCAATTAGTTTATTTAATTATGTTATTTAATTGACTATTTTGTAGAGATATATTTATTTATACGCGCATTTTTTTAATATATTATTCTATGCATTTATACGTTTGAGGTAATTAAAATATTAATGTTGATTATTTAGTATTTCTTTATTATTCGTTAATTACTTATTTTACTTGAAAAATATATTAGCAAATGTGCGTATAGAACATCCAAATAAAGTAAACATACCAATTCTCGGGCACGTACTTAATTCTGAATTTTCTTATTGTTTTAGTCTTTAAATACGAATATTTAAACTTTCAACATAGAATATATGTATATATTTTTTTATTTTGAAAGTTTAAATGTTTGTATTAGAAATTAAAACAATGTTCAGGATTAGATACGTGTCTAGGCATTGGTATTTTTACCTACTTTTGTATATTAAAAATAATTATAAATGTATTCCAATGTGCCAAATACATATAAAAATTTGTACGTTGTGCAGTAATGCTTTAGCCATTATTTTTTAGCGAGTAACAATTGTCTTTAACTTTCTGTAACGAACATTTAGTTCAAATTAAACAAGTATGTGGGTTTATCAAGAGTAAAGTAGAAACAACTATTCATATTCACGTTTTCTTGTAATAAAATTCTTATTTATTTCAAGACAAGAGAAGAATATTGTACAAGAAGATCAGAGCTATTGTACAGAGGGAAGATCAGGGCGTCGTTAGGATGAAGAGAGAAAGAAAGAGCGCGCGAAGGAGCTGCTGTGCGTTCATTCCAGGATATAGCCGCGATCGCAGGAGGACTCGAGAATGCGGACAAGAGAGGCGGCGCTATTTACAGCTGAGGAGTCGCTAAATCAGGGCATCAAACGGTCGGCAGGTGCTCTCCCTCGGGACGGAATCCGTTCTCGTCGGCGACGTAGTTGACGGTGTACCTGACGTTGGTGGCCGGGTCGACGTAGCTGAAGCTACCGCGCACGGCGATGCTGGCGTCCTCAGTACCGGCGTTCACCAGCTGAGCGGTCTCCTGGCGGCTCTCGCCGTTCGACAGCTCGTAACCGAACTGGTAGCCGTCGATGCCGATGTTGTCCAGAGGAGTCTCCTTCACGACCACGGTCTGGCTGTTATCTTGGGCAGGTGCCGCGAAAGCGACGGCCACGAGAGCGCAGAGAGCGATGATCTGAAGAATGAAGGGATGATCAATTAAGCGATTCGATTGAATTCGTTGCTCTTAAGAGATGAGACGGTACATCGCTCGAGATCCGCTCAGAGCTCGATAATTGGACTTGCGATTGTTGTTCTCTGGTTAATTGTCAACGACAGAACTCGCGGAATCGAGAATTGACCAGAGCTCGTCGAAATAACACCGTATCTATTATATTGTATTCCGTATTTATATCGCCTCTCTCTTTTGGCGGTCGAATACCTACTGTTTTCATGTTGAAGGCAGATGTGCGCAGCTACTACTGTTCGGCAGAGAAGACTGATGTGGATGGACGAAATCAGCCGCGATTTTATAGTGCTTCTCCTACTGCCAAAATTTGGCTAGGCCAATTCACCTCTCACCTTTCTTTCCATATCGTTGTTTAACACGTGCGCCTATCGTGGTCAAGATTTTGACCTTCATGGAAATTCCTCACAGACAATGCTCGAGCGATCCGAAACCTCGCACTTTCGTTCAGCAACGAGCCAACCCTGCCGCCGAGTGTTACTGATCTCGTTCACGCGCTATTTTTCACTTGTGAGGGGAGAACAAAATCAATAAATTATTTCTGCCGGCCGGCAGTCATACTTAAGGGCCTGAATTTTAATGAATTTCAGATGAAATATCTGAGATGTAGACACTAATATAAAATTATTGAAATAACAATAATAATATAAAATATGTGCAACAAGAAAGAGTATAGTAATCAATATTAATTAAACATCATATCGTCATACGTATATCTCAAGCGATTCAAACGATTGTCCGACAATTAAAAAGTAAGCGGAGAAGAATTGAAGCTCTTTCCCATTTTACTTAATACGATCATTAAGCCGTCATCAGAAAGATGGGATTTGAGAGATCGCACGCATTCCATTTCTTTTTAAATCTTTATAATATTTTCAGAATTCTTTTCTATTGGCTATTATTAAATCTCAATATTCCACAGAATTGTGGGAGATATATTATAAAGTTTGAAAAATTATAAAAATTATACAAATTATAAAAAATCATAAAAATATAACAAAAAAGAAAAACAAAATTCATCAAACTCCATTTTTTCAATAATGGATTAATTATCAACGTAACCTTTAAAACTAATTAATGTAAATCTGTGAAAATCAAAGCGATTCAAAGCGACAATAAATTTCTACACAATTGCAGAAATCGGCGAGCGCGACGCTTCCTTTTTTGTAAGGATCGTTCCTCCGTCAGCGAAATTTCAATCGCCCTCGGAGAATACGGCTCATCGGAACCTTGAAAGCATCATCGACGTAGAAATAACGTATTTTTAACGTCGCGTTCCGATCGTGATACAATCAAGGGAAGCTACTCTACCGGATTCTTTCGCTGTACATTTTGAATTGTGAAAGGTGAATCCTCCACGTCGTCAGCGTAATCGAGCATAGTCGCCCGACGATTCTGTACCCTTATCGTCTTATTGACGGATCACCGGAGACGCCATCGGTAAGGAATGTCGCCAATTGGCCGGACTCGTCGGATTCGCGCTAAACCCACGACCGGCGCCGCCACGATACAGACGCCGCTCATTAATTTACATATAACCAATTGTATCCAACGAATTAGACATTCGGCTAATGGCAGGCCAATAATAATAAATCAAAGAAGCGATATACACGGGAATCTCATTTGCTCGCCGTGTCCTCGAACTTTGGTTGAACTGTCATACGTCGTCCGATAGAAACCAGCGGGGCGGTCGACGTTAATGGAAAGGTAATAATAATACCTAATCGATGTAACCGACGCATAATTCATGCAAAAATAAAATGAGCCACGTTAGTGATTCACGCTAGGACGTTTCTCGGTACTTTATAATGATTCTCTCCAATTGAATTTACCCTGTCAAGTCGACAATAATTGCCACTTGTTTCTGCAAAGATCGCACGGTGACATTTGCAACGTTCGTTTCGTCGCAGATGTCTCCAATTGACGAGCATTGTACTATCTCTTCCATCACGACGTGTAATACTTCTTGTTACGGCATTAACGTGAGATATCACATATGTACGCGCATAAAATGATCGATACGCCAATAAACGTGAAGAAACGAGACGTGTCTCGAGAGAACTCCCTGCGATAAATATGCACAAGTAGGTTACGCCGCGCTTCGTGTTCCTCAAGAAATTCAATTTTCTTGCGCGCGAATCGCTCGCGGCAATCTTCGCAATCAGACGCTACAAACTGCTGCACGAAGTTTCAATTTTCGACCGTGTTGGCGGTCACACGAATTAAGGGGATTGTGATGGTAAAACATGTTAAAGCAAGCGTAACTAACAGGGCAGGCGAATGAGTTGCGAGCGAGTCATAAATCTGCGACGACGTACACTTTTACTTTTCGCGGCGACTCGTCTTCTCTCTTGCCGAATTGCAGCCGAAAGAAACGAAAGCAATAGCCGAAAGAAACGAAAGAATAGCCGTGCCATGATGAATATTTTACACAGATACTGGCGGTCCCGCATCGTTTGTGCAGTGCGTCGCACCAAGATCTGTTCCAGTTGCCTTGGTCAATCGATATCGAATCGAATTTTCAAACGAGTTTGTCTCACTGCCCCAAACACAGCACAGATCTCCACAGGACATCCTGAAGACGTCCTAAGAATGTTCCTATGTTTCCAGGATATCCCTTGGGCATCTTGTGCTGTCTAAGGCACTTGTAAGCATCAAAGTGGTACCTCCTAATTATTGAGAACGCTACTCGTTCGTCAATAAATCTAAGGTTCGTTAAAATCAAATTGAAATTTGTTCCATGTGAGATACTTAGATCTGAACTGAGAGTTAGATTCGAGATTTTTGTTTGAACTATAGAATATACGCAACATTTGTAATCACGATTCAGTTGAAATACATCTAACTCTAAGGTGCGTTAATAATTATATAATAATTATATAATTAATAGTCGTTACTTATGTCACTTATAGTCGTTACTTATGAAACTTATAGTCGTTACTTATGAAACTTATGTCACATAAAAAATACTTAGATCTGGATGTAAAGTTATATAATAAACTTTTATTTAAATTATTTGATTTGTACATGTTATATTTACATTCGCGATTCAGTTGAAAAACTCAAGATTAACTCTAAATGAAAATCTGAGTGTTTCATCTAAAAGTAAGTTTCACGTAACGATTATTAATACGGCTCTAAAGTCAAATCTAAGGCCCGTATTAATAGTCGTTACTTTAAATTTGTCTCACGTGAAATACTCAGATCTGAATGTGGAATTAGATGAGCTTTCATTTGAATTAAATAGTATATGTGACGTTACATTTGCAATTCAGTTGAAGAACGTCTAACTAAATGAAAATCTGAGTGTTTCATCTGAAATAAGCTTCAAGTAACGACTATTGATGCGGGTTTAAGTGCAGTGTATCGGGGACAAAAGAGTTGTGCCCGTAATCGGACAGAGAGAAGAAAAGAAAGATGGAAGGAGAATGTTACGTAAAGGTAAGTTTATTTAAAAGCTAAATTCATCGATAGTTTAAGCTGGCAAGTGGTCGCCCTGCGGGTGGAATCCATTCTCATCGGCGATGTAGTTGACGGTGTATCTGACGTTGGTCTCCGGGTCGACGTAGCTGAAGCTACCCTGAACGGCGATGCTCTCATTCTCAGTTCCGGCGTTCACCAGTTGGCCGGACTCCTGGCGGCTCTCGCCGTTCGACAGCTCGTAACCGAACTGGTAGCCGTCGATGCCGATGTTGTCCAGAGGAGTCTCCTTCACGACCACGGTCTGGCTGTTATCTCGGGTGTATTGGGGGGGTGCCGCAAAAGCGACGGTCACGAGGGCGCAGAGAGCGACGATCTGTACGAGAAGAGTATCGTTACAATAATTAGCTAATCGTTGCTGATCGCGCAAAAATGAAATAGTCCGATAACAGAAGATAACAGAAGTGGAAAGATATACAGAAAGAGAAAGGGAGAACGATTTGCTGTATTTGGTTACAACTAATTTCTACTTTTGCTTCATTACTTTTTATTAGGGTCTCAAGATTTTCTTCTTACAGTCGGATGATCGAAGGTAGCGAGATTTTTAGCTCGACAGGTTTCGCAATGTATTCAATAGGAAAATGTACATCTTTCTCTTGAGAATTATTAAAAAAAAACAAATTCCTTTCTGCCGGATATTGTTGCGAAATTCATCGAGGTAAGTGTGTTGCAACTTTCAATCATCTGACTGTACTTGTGATGATAGCAATATTTGCGTTAAAATTCTCAGCGATTCATGGTACAGATACAAATGAAATGATTCTATCTCTCTTTCTTGCTCTCATTTTCTCTGTGTCATTCTCTCCATCCTGTTTCTCAAGTTTCCACGTGACGAATTCCGCAAATGTCGCGATTCCCAAGTGCTAAAATGTCTCTAATGCCGCGCGAAAGCAACGCAAACTAATCAATTTTTAACGACACGCCGCGCCGTATGCGCTAACGATCGCTCTCCGTGTGCTCTCTCCGTGTAATATCCTGAGAGGCCGAAAATCGCCGTGGGATCACTGCACCGAGGGAATCACGAGCGTTCCGCGCGGATTCGTCGTGAGTCCCGAGACTTCCGAGTCATCCGCAAAAGACCGAAGTCGTGCACAGAAATCGATCGCGTCAGCACTCTCGTACGAATGGTTACTACGACGGTCGCATCAACGTCTCGAACACGCACCAGCTTCATGGCTGCTGTGGTAAGTGTGATTCCTGTCTGGCGAGCAGAAGTGACGACCTGAGCTGAAGAGGCTCACGAAACTGATGCGACATACGATCGATGGTGCGTATATATAGCCGGATTTCTATACCAATTACGCCCCTACCATCCACGTTCCCGCACTACCGAAAATTTTCATGTTCATGTGACGAAATCCTTAAATGACCGGCCGGCCGGTCGGCCGGTTGATTGGCCGTCCGCCCAAATGAACGGTGATGGTGATGGTGATGACACAACGACATGGTCCCGAGAATGTCACGTACACGGAAAAAAAGAATTTGCTGCAACAGCGAACCAACTTGCTACATATGGACAGTTAAATATAATTCGCTGTGTAAGCAACTTCTTCTTTGCTGTAGAAACCTTGTTGTAACAACAAGAAAATCTTTTTTTTTCATGTAAAAACGCGAGGAACGGGTGCCGGGAGATATCGGACACCGTGATTTCACCTGGCCAGGTCGCGACAGGTCGCCATCTAAATCTTTCACCGCGTGTGATTTCTTCTCTCGCGATTGATCAACATATCGCGGCTGTACCTGCACGTGGCTGTCGCGTGATATCGTAAGTCGGAGTTACGACAAGGCAGAGAGACTCGAGATTCATTAATTTTTGCACGAGAACGCCCGATATCCCGCGGCCTGGCGCGACGTCGTCGTCGTTGTCATCGGCAATGATTGTCAGCGGTAAGCTCGTAACGAGCGCATACGTTGAGATCATCCGCGAACGTACGTCCCGTTAACGCGGGATCTCGCAACTTCAAATGCACTTTAAGAGATAAGCCTCACTAAAGGTTAAAGGCGTAAATCCCTTTCCTCGCGCGCGTATCCTCCCGTCGAGGCTCAATCCGGCGGCCGTCTGTGATGGCCTCGTGCGTTACGCAATACAGACACATCTCGATGCGGATATTATCATAAACACGGAGAGTTCTAATGTATTTGGTCAATCATATAAATTCTATGGATCCGAGCGAATAACACGTCATACACGCGACTCTACGTTGCGTCACGTTTCTCGCTGAGGGACGAAACATTCTAGATCGAAACGTTCTAGCACTGCTAGAACGTGTCGTAAGGTCATGTCGTCTGAGGGACACTTGAAACAGACGACACGCCTTTCGGACACCTTTGAGGTGTCTTTGACAAGTTTGCGCTGCATGGGGTCTTTCGTTCGGCGAGAGAACCGAAGTGGGAGCGTAAAAATGGCGAAAACACGAACGAGTTTGCGCGAATCATCATGTTAACACACTGCTAATCGGTTGCTTTAAGAATGCTGTCATTTTTTACCGCTGCTATTTCCTCCAAGTCGAAATAAATTATAATACATCGTTGGCCGGTTATATTTTCAACATTGACCAATCCTTATTCTACTTATTTTTTTGTTTTTCTATGAACTGCAATGAAATGCGAATATGTTTGATATTTGCAGCTATTATCACATAGAGAAATCGATATACATACATAAAATAGAATGTCTGTTTGATATTTGCAGCTATTATCACATGGAGAAATCGATAAATATAAAATAGAACGTCTGTCAATGTTTCTTAGTAACTCCTGAACTTTTTGACCAACCTGGACCAAATTTTACATAGTTGCTCTGTAAGATCTTGTGGAAATGTAGGCTACATAAAACCTGGAAAGACACCACCCCTCCCTCTGATTTCATCGCCTTGATACTTTACGATCATTTACGATTAGTTCACCAGATAGCTCGTGAACTGATGAGTTATTTGATTTAGTACAACACAAATGTTCTCGTGACTGATTACAATAATGTGTTAATAAGCTATTCATTGATCAACGGATTATTCAATGAATAAAGTCGTTTACAGGTCTAAGTGCGAACGCGCGAAAGGTTATCTTTTTATGATCTGATGCGAAGATAAACATGAATATTTCTCATAAAAATCTCGTAAAATATACGAATAAAAATATAAATGGATAAAAATTCTACTAATGACTGTTACGACAAGATGGCATTTGTATTCCTTGCGATAATGAAGACGAAATATTAATCGCTAGAGACGAGTAATCACGAGCATATCTGATTATGCGACTACGCAGCAGCAGTTCATTCCGATAAGTCTTTCCGACATTTGAAGATTTCATTCAGACTCTATAAAGAGGAATTATTATTGCTTTCCGATTCGCGCGCGAGAAAACGAGTTTCTTAACGTGAAATATAATCCCGGAACTGCCGAGGAGCGTCGCGTCTGCCGACGGAAGGTCTCGTCATCTCCAAATGCGCCTCTTTCCAATCCTCCGGTGGGCGAATACTGATGCGATTTTTGTCCTCTCTTCTTCTGTTTTTCAGTGTTTCGACTTTATTTCGCTGGCGACACCGCGAACGTGCGAACAGGTGATATCTTCCTTATTCTTGACCACGCAATTTCTCTGATTCTGATAGTCGCGTGTTCACGCGCTACGAACGGACGCACTCGCGTTCGTGTGGCGTAAAGTCAAACTGAAGCTTGATGTTCGCGACAAAAGTGAAACTTAGGAATTGATTAAGACGCGAGACGCGTAAAAATACCAAAACTCGAGCCTCCTCCGTCGCGTGAATTCATATGCTCCGTCTGGGCGACGGCGCGAGGAATCTCATTGACTGACATGAATTATATCGTCAAGTGACGAGGGAGGAGCGATGCCCGCCGAGCTTTGGAAAGAAAGTGCGCGGTTACATAAGCGAGCGGCTTATGCTAATGACCAGGTAGAAAGAGAGACAGAAAGAAAGAGAGAGAGATGGGAAGAATCTTCGTCGTGGGAGGATAGAAGTCAAAGGTGCCACGCGCGTCTTCGGCTTCTCTACATTCGTACAATCACCCGCGATACACGTGACATTCGTTAAATCAACATTGCTCTTTCAAAAGAAAGAAAGAAGAAATTATTGAGAATGAAATCGTTACTAGGAGTTTGCGTAAATTTGTCGGCTCCTCAGGAATTTTATTAGCTAATCTTACAGATGTAGAATTAACCAATTGTCTGAAAGGTGGAGCCCTTATGGAAAAGTCAATAATAAATTGGTAGTGACTTTTAATAATTCTATTACTAGTTACTATAGCAACTAGTAATAAAATCATTAAAAATCACTGACAATTTATTATTGACTAGTGATGACTTTTTGTAAGGAAGAAAGATGGCGGACAACGATGGTAGATGCTCTGATTGAACATTGCGTGTATCGTTTGATTGTGATTAATTAAAGAATGCCAATATGATTAATTAAAGATGGCCAAAAATCCGGCGAACGTTTGCAAGTCTCTTACACGATGGGAATTTCATAGCGAAATGGTTACAGAACTCTGTGATAGAGGGATAGACCCACATTCCATATTGACTGACCTTTCATTCCATGTGCTAGTTATATTTTAGGAACTGAAGTAAGCTATTAAGGAATGTGCTATATTTCTTTGCGAAATTCGCCAGCAAGATAAAGATCTCACTGTCCACTCCTGCGCTACTAGAAACGTATAGCAAAATTAGAAAGAATTTATATGAAAGAAAAGAATTAAGCTACGATAAAAAGTTGGAACGTTCATTGAGAACTCAAAACGACCCATCAGTCAGTCTGATCATTCGCATCTCGTGTCTGGATATTTGCATACACTGTCACTCGATCGTCCGGCTAATCTCTCACTTTGACAGCTCGACGTATCGTGTAACATCACATCGCGTCACCATCAGGACTAGTCAGTTTTGGATGTTGAGGCTTCATCGCGGTGCACAATCGAGAAGCTATCGATAACAATCGAATAATGTTGCCGGTGCGTGCCGTAATATTATATAACGTTCTATTATATTGTTAACGCGCGCGCCACGGAGATCCTCCGTGGGACTTTCTAATACATCTGTGACCAAGACACCGCGTTATGTCACGCGCTAACGTAACCGCCGGATCGCCGTTGTGTCATGTCGAAGTGTGCACTACCTCGCGCGTGCATGATTACGGACGTTTATCATTAATAATACTACAGTGCGCTTGGGCTAGATTACCGATCGCCGCGGGCCAATTAATAGCCTCGCGGCGTAATTATTCTCAGTACGAGCGGCACATTAGTCGTCAACGAGAGGAATAACATTAATTTCCTCGATAATCCTGCGCTCGTGCCTCGCATTTTTCTACCGGAATCCTCTCCCGCGGGTTACCTTTTGATAAAACTTCGACGGAGAGTTATCATCAGTGAAACGAAATTTCGCTGATGGCACTCCAGCGAATTAAATTTAATTGTCGAGAAGTTGTCGAGGGGCTTTGATTAATAAAAGTGTGAAGAAAAATATTAGATAACAAAAGAATAAGTCAAGAGTCAATTGGTGAAGAAAAGTATCGAATAACAAAGATAAATTGTAAGAGTGGAGAAGTATTGAATTATAGAATTATTTAATTAATTTAATCATTGAAACCTTTTTTTAATAATCAAAATTAACTAATCAATTTATCATTGATTAATAATTAATTGTACAACTAATTGTTGTATAATTAATTTAACAGTATCAAATTATTATGGGAGTAAATAGCAAAGGTGAAGAAAAATGAATTCCAGATTGAGACACGTGAAGGATCAATCGTCAACAGATTTCGCCACGACTCTCGACGGGCTTGTCAAAATCCAAAGTCAAAATCGAGGCTTCTGGAACACCATATATAGGATATTAGATAACTAGCCGGCTTAGGGCGGCACGTCGAGTCGTGACTCTTCCTCTGTGCACGGAGCGTCTTCTCCCGAGAGGCGCGATATTATTGTATAATCGATTGTGCGCGAGGAAGGAGAGGGCGCAGCCCGATGCAAAAGAGAGACGCGCGACCATCGTTCCACACGAGCAGATGCGAGCGACAGACATGTTTCTCGTCCTGCTACTTCGTCGGCGATTACGTAAGGACGCCTGGCGCGTTAACGCACAGGCCCGTGGTTGACCCTTGAGGTGTCCGACGCTAACGCTAATTGCCACTTTGGCTAATTAGCGATTCGGCTCGCGGCTTTGTGAACGATTCCCGTGAAACATTCTCTTCGCGCGGCGAGCAGTTTTACGATCGGCCACGAGATGACAAATCTATCGGAGTATCTGTCAGGGAAAAAATGCTGGAAAATTTATTTGTGGGTTGCAAAGCTTATCTCTGTGA